GATTCATGGGGTGATAAGAAGTTGGTTTGACTCAAAGAAGGGGGACGAGAATGCCGAACTGTTACAGAAAAAAGATTCGAGTCCTCAGAAAGTAGAAAGCGTGAGCAATAAACTCCAAACAACTCCACCTGGATTGGGCCAGGTATAAGTTGAAGTAGAGAGGGGCTTGGACAGGCTTTGAAGATTCTGTTGCAACACCCTAATTGCCTTAAAATAAATTCCAAAACCCCTCTCCTCTCCTGTTTCCTTTCCTACCTCCAAGAGCTGATCCCCCAAGTGATTGCTCTGTAGGGTTACTAAACTAAACTAAACTAAACTAAACTAAACTAAACTAAACTAAACTAAACTAAATGGGGGGTGGGGGTGGCAGCAGGAAAAGTGGAGAGAAAAAGGGGAAGTGGGTCATGATGGTGCCAGTTTTTACAGTACCCAGAAGATCCATTTCCTGCTCTGGAGGGCTGGCTGAAGAAACAAAGTTGAGCCAAGAAGGACTCCTCTTTTGGAGAGGTGGAGGAAACCCTGCTGAACATCTTGAGATCTTCCTCAGGTTCCAGGAACAGCAGCTGTGAGGACAGCACAGGACACTGTGAATTACTTGGAAGAAGTTCGGGGAGCGTTTGTCAAACTTCCCTTGCAACAATCTCAGCTAGAAATGGTTTGTCCAACCAATAACTGTCCAAGAGCTCTGCTTCTTCGTTAGAAGGAACATTAAGGTTATGGTGGAAGAATTCCAGCGAGGACCCTACTTTCCATGTAGACCCCTTTATAGAGGCCATGTACGTTTCCCATGCTTTTACAAAGAAGGTGAGAGCTTGCAGGAAGCATCTATCAATTGTTTTGGTAAACGTTTGTCTTTTTATTGGCGTGCAGAGATGTCCGCAGGATGTGGTACTTTTGTCAAAATGCTGAAAACAGCCCCCCACCATTGTGGTGCAACTTCTGCCTCTTTCACGCATGCGCAGGGCATCACACACAAGGGCAGGGCTGGTGTCAGGTCAGTGCAATATTGTTTCCATGAGCCCCCTCCCCTTGCAAGTGATGGAAGCAGCATGGAGGGGGGAGAAGTAACTCACAGCTGCGTGGAAGTAATTCCTAGTGTTCTTTGGTCATCGAGAATAATATAAGAGCAATGGACGTAAGCTCCGTGTTGTTGCAGCAACAGCTGTTTGACAGGATCAGACTGCATCTTACACCTTGCCATCGCTCGTGTGGTTGCACGGTTTGATCACCAGGGAGTGCCCGCTGGAACTGCTCAACGGGCCCCTTGGGAACGATGGTGCTGGGCATCGTGCGTCCATCACACAAAAGCTGAAGTCTTTTGTGGGTGAGTATTGTTCTCTCCAATGCCAGGTGCTCCCTGGTTGCGGCTGCCAAGTGTCGCAGAAGGAGCACATCTGCTCAGAGAAACGGTGGACGACCGAACATCTGCCAGGCACTGATGACGCCGCCGCCGCTGCTGCGTTGATAGGTGATCTCAAGAGAGCCCGCTTTATCGGAACTCCAGCTTTACTCAGTGCTGAAGTATAAATGGAGCCACGGTCGCCCATAGCGCCTGGAGATCCTTGCATTGCAACCATTTTTCTCCTTCCGTTCCCGCTTCCTCTAGAGCCAGAAAACGTGGCCCGTCCCAGACATCCGAGATCTCATCCTTGCCCAGTTTGAAGTCAATCTGCAGGTACACTCCTAGGAAGAAGTTGATCATCTGGGGTGGACTTCTGGGGGGCGGTGTGTTTCAGGGCTGTTTCCCAGAGCCGAACCTGGCCCATTCTCCACCCATCGTCTTGATGAGTGGGCTTCCATGATTCCAAAGCATGCACGCTTCTTACATTTTTAAGGGTTGCCTTTTGTGAACGGCCCCTCAACATCCCTGTGGCCTTGTCTGAACCTGCTCCTGTTGCTCCGAATCCTTTGTCAAGCATGACCCCCAAACCTGAACGATTCCCGAGGAGGAGGATTTATTCTTTATTTTTTGGAAGGGATTTTTCTTTTCCTACCCTGCTGTGTCCTCCAAAGGCCCCCAGGCAGTTTACAGAACATGTTGCTTAAAAAGAAAGCCAGAAGCAGGCTCAAATGTCACAGCACAAAAGCAAAAGCGATGGGGCAGGAAGAGGAAAAGAGCAAGCTCTGGAGCCAGTCCTTAAAGTGACAGATCTTGTGAGAACCAGCTGGACGGGCAAGAGGCTGCCTAATCTGATGAAATGGCCATTGCAAGCAACTTTTAAACCTCTGTGTTTGTGTGAGGAATATCCCAGCATCACCAAAATCTTTTCCTGCCTTGCTTCAGTGTGTGTCCTGCCAAGGCAGAAGGAGGCCTGTTCAGCATTCCTCCCGGGATGTATTTTTAGATGGTTCAAATGTGCTTGTCACGCATTCCTCCATTGCACTGATGCGGCCTGACAACAACACAGAAAACAGGTTGATCGCAGAGAGGACGCCCTAAATAGAATAACCCCACGGTTTGCCGCATGTGTTTTGGGCCCACTTGGGAGGAAAATTCAGCGCCATCAGCTCTCCAACAGCTGTATGGATTTCACTGCTTATACGGGCCAGTGCTGAGGACCCTCACTCCGCAGATCCTATCGGCAACCATCGGATACAACCCACAAAAGGAAAAGTCTCCTCTGAGTTGAGTTCTGCCTCCCCATAACGTCACAGACCTGTCTGTGGATTTTTTTTTTCTTTGCCACTGACTTCGTTGTTTTGTCCGAGCAGCTGTTTTGTCCATCTTAAAATATGAGGATGACTTGGTGGTCTCCCATCCATCTTTTAAGTAATAACAAGGTTCCAACTCTACAACCCATCCCTTACGTCAGTGTTGTCCAAACTTGGCCACTTTAAGATGAGTGGACTTCAACTCCCAGAATCCCCCAGCCAGCCATGCTGGGTAGGGA